GTACGGAAATCTTTAACATTTCCTAAGCGTGAATTGTTGACCAATCCAAATATTAATTTATCATTTCATTCAATATCCGGTTTAAATTTGTTAAATCGATCATAATTAAATAGATCCATTAATGTTCTGTTTAATAATTTATCGACTGGTTTAATATCTTCAACGTAATAGTAATAATTTGTTAAACTATTTCTCAAATTTATTTTCAAAGGGTAATAATTCGATATGCTAATTACAATATTGTGTTAAATTATTATATTCGACTATGTTGCATTTAATTAATCATGCATATAATCTCTAATTATTCATCGCGTTTACTTTTTTTTACAATCGAGTATTAATTATACTATGTAATCATTTGTTACTTTTCTAGGAACGAGTAACATCGTTATTGTCAACAGAATAAAAATGCTGTTGTTATAAACATCTATCTACGTTTTATACTGAAAGTTATTACACACGAAGTATCATCTCGCATATTTTCATATTAAACAAAACCAAAACCGAGGAAAAGGGGAAAGTGGTCATGAGACAAAAAATGAAAGCTTCTTATCATCTCCTCCTCCCAATCCCGTCATATTTGTTACATGTTTACATTTTCTTACATTTTTTTTCACTAACATCTTCTTTGTCAAGCTTTGTAAGCTTGTATAAAAGCTCTCTCACGAAACGAATAGTAAATACACATTGCTGTATATGCTCGTTTTCTAACGATAATGCGAAAACTTGTTCGCAGAGAATAGTTTCATGTAGATAATACTGAGAACCATAATACTACGTGTTATGTATCTTTGATATTGGGGGTTGAAAAGAGAATGTAAAAGAAACTATAAAAGCTTCTCGATAATAAAATCAAAACAATAGTCATTTTTAGTAATTGTAATTTAATTACAATTGATTATTGTATTTAACAATAACTCAGTCTTAATAGATAGATTATTTTATTTCATTTTTTTGTAACCCTAATATTCAAAATTTTATAATCCTAATAAGAAATCTGTGTTAATCCATTTAACGATACAATTGCCGTGGAAATCTACGTGCATCTAACTAACAAGTTTCAGAAAGGATCGTTTCGTGAGTACGTGTGCAATGCTAGACTACCTACCGTTGCTATCTGCTCGTCAAACGTTTATTGGGTCACGGGCTTTCGCTGCAGTGCTAGAACTAGCGCTGTCTCCATAGGCCGGTAAACGAGCGTACGTGCATCAAACTTGAACATTTGTATAGGTTAGTATGAATGTTGTGTAGGGCTTTCTCGTGTTGCCGCATACGTCTAGAAAGCGAGAGCTAGTGCGAGAGAGAAAAATATAGATAGATAGATAAATAGATAAAGAGAAAGAGAGAGAGAGAGAGAGGGGGGAGGAGGAAACACTACGTGTGACCCTTAGAAATCCTCCCCCTGATACGTGCTCGACGAGAAATCTCTATTTGAACAGCCACAGATGCGTATCCTCGTTGCAAGACAAAATACAGTCTATCTTTATCCTTCCTTTAGACAATCACCACGAGATATTTTGTCTCGTAGATTCCTACAAATTGATATGGTGGTTGCTTTCCTAGAATTTCGAACGATCCAAGTGATCGAAAAAAAAAAAACTTAATATACCGAAGTGTTCAAACTATCTAAAGCGATATCTTGTATTGGTAAAAAAACGAACGAGATATATTATTCTAGTTAACTGTTCTTTCTTTTATGTTTCAATATACTACGATGCAATTCTATTTTTTATGAATTTTCACACATTATTCGTTTTTCTTTTTTTTTTATATATTTGTTCTATATTTATAGTATCTTTTTTAAGTTATTGCATGTTTTATTTTATTATCAATACTGATATATACTATCTATCATATATTATTAATTTATCGATATTTGCATATTGAAACGTGGATATTGAGAACTATTATCAGTTCTTCGTTCTATAGAAGTAAAATCGTAACAAGATATTTCCTGTAATAATATTACCTTTGCATATCTCATGACAATGTTTTGATTAAAGTTTAATTTTCTTTTCCCTAAATATTTAATTTATGTATATCCATTTATTTTAGTACGATTTAGGCAAGATTTAAGTTATTAAATAAGATCAATGTAACACAGTTTCCCTAAATTATAAAAATTGAAATGATAAATTTCGAATTAAATTTGTTTTTTCTTAAAAATTGTGTCAATTCTATACAAAACAAAAACATTAATGTCTACTTGAGAAGCGGATAATACTTGACTTACATAAGGATTAAAAACAATTTATATTATATTTTCTCATAATTTTCCTCTGTTTCTTGCCTTTATTTTTCGATTCGCACAAAATTAACATTTCATTTTTTTCTGTCGTTGAAAAAATTCAAAAGAACGTTTCAACAAAGACTTTTTCTAGCGAATTAAAAATAAAGATACGCGAATGTTGCAAGATTACTCAGTAATATTAAAGATTTTCTGAAAAAAAAAAAAAAAAAAAAACAGAAAAGAGTCAGAGACGGTAGCACGTTAAGAGGTCGTTTTTAACGTGCTGCAAAGTAGATTTCTTAGGTGGATAAAGTAACGTCAAATAGGAGATGAATAAACGAAGCAACTGGAGTACGAATGAAAATCTTCCGTTGAACGAGAAAGTCATTGAAATGAAATATCCGCTTGTAGCTTTTTGACGCTTTATTTCTCTTCATACGAACATGCGTTAACACTCACACGTATGGATGCCTATTGACATATACTCGAAGTAAAGAATGTATGTACATTTGTAGCCTCGTCTGATGTTGTAATAAAAGCTAGGTGACCCAATAAACATTCGACGCGTACTTAAATAAGATGATATCATCTTGGTTATTATACTTTAAAATCTAAAGTATACTAGATACCCCATTTTAAACAATATGACCAAATCCTATTGGTTTTATAGATAAATATTTCAAACAAAAGTTGCTAGGTTTACAGAGGGGATGTAACATTTACTACGGTTATTTCGTAGAAGATACTGCTATCAAAATATGGAAGTCAATAATTCTTTTGTTTTTTTTTTATTGGAAATCGATATTATACATTTAATAAATGTTTTCGAGAATTTGATTAAAAATCCAATATTTCATCTGGTTGCGGCTATCTCTAATATTACGAATATTCTACTAATACTAATTATATATTATAATATTTATATGTTATAAAAAGTATAATGTAGAAATTAGTTAAACAGTAATTTTTTTATAATTTGTACTTATTTTACGTATATTACGATATATTTTCTTGAAATTTATTCTATACCGAGCAAGGAAAATAAATCAAACAATTAGTGTTCCATTTATAACGTGTGCGTTATGATTTAATTTCTAAAAATAAATGGTCGTTCAATAGAAAAGGTAGAGGGTTAGAGACAGAATTACGAGTCGTTTCTTTTCGTTATTACAACGAAGATGAAGAAGCAGGAACGAAAGAAAAAAAAATCAAGAAACGGACAGCTTGCAGCTGTAGATACGGTCCACGGTTGTTTCTATCCCGCTGCTTGCATCTGCTCCTACCTCTTTCTTTTCTCTTTCAAGCAAATGCACGGCAACAGAGATAATCTTTCGTGTTTGCACATCTGTTCATATTCAATCTTTCTCCTCGGTACGTTCGCCTTTTGCCTATTCCACTTGTCTATTCTACCTCGCAAACTTTTCTCTCGTTCTCTGTATATATAATATCGAAAATAGTATTTTTCTATCTATGCGACTCTCATGGAAAATTTGCTCGAAATGAGAGAATATCGCATAGCTATCGAATAATAAATTATATTCAATAACAATAATATAACATTTTTGAAATTTATCAAGATACGATCGAATATCTTTATATCGTCAAAATAATAATATATAATAACGTTATACATATTGTTTACGTAAAAACGTAACGAAAGGAATGAATCGAGCAGGATATTTTTCGACATCCTTTGGACTGTGAGAATCGTATCCGAAGATGCAGAGGAAAGATCATAGCGCATTCCTGAAGGCTATAAAACTGTCAAACAAACCCAGAGATTATTCGAGATGTCGATACAACGAGACATTCGGCCGAAAGATATTTCAAGTTGTGTTGACTTACTAAGTAAACACATGCATTCCTATCTAGAGAAACGATTTCCTTCATCCTAAATAAGTTTCTCTCGTCGTATAGTTTCCACTAAAAAACGTTAACCTTCTGCATCGACAGACTGTGGGAGTGGATTTTCCTGCTCTTGGACAATCAATCTAGGGAAGGGATGATAATCATCTTCTTCCTATAAAAACCCGCGAAGCAATATCACAATCATCATTCGATCATCATCATTATTCGATTCACATTCATTCGAACAACACGATTCGCTTAACATAACGAAGAACACTATTCGAAATCGCATCAATTTCTGACGACGCAGCAAAACCAGCATCAAGAAAGAAAATGTAAACTGCATATCTGCAGACATCATATTCATCAAGCGGCGCCATTGTAGGGGCATCATTCAACAATTCACAAAGCAACAGCAATCAACAACGCAACAACAATCGATTTCACAAATTACAACGGCATTTTAGCGATAAATAAATAACATAGTACCGATCAAGGCACAACGGTCGTGCAAGAAATATGTATGTACATGAATGTAGAAGCTGAAAATATAATCTACAAATCGATGACAAGAATAGTCGAGACTTAACAAGCTATAATAAACAAATCGTTCCTTTTACCCTTGTTACCACCCTCCTTTCTCGAATGCAATCTTTTTTTCAAACCGCAATACCATAGCGTGACAGTGCTCTGGCTGTGTGCCAATCTTCACGTCTCATTCCTTCCTTTCGTGTTCTATCTAAACTGCACCATAGTTCACGCTTCTTTACTTCGCGATAACTTTTGTTCGTGATGATCACGAGCTGGTCAGAAACATACACTTTTGTTATTCGTTAATTATTCTGTTTACTTTTATTTCTGAAAAACAATTTATTTCCACAGTGTATATTTAAATAACGATATTTGATTTGATTTTTTTTAGGTACTCACGTCGAACGCAAATCATCTATAAAACATATGTCAAAACGTCCGGTAAGTGTTAAAGAAAGGATTTAATTTTGTACATAAAAATTATTCGAGACTAATATAAAAATATTCATTTTTTTTTCACGAACATTACTGTTAGTATTATAAAAATATAAAATAAAGGAATCATTCAATAGAATCGTTGAATAGATATGTCACTTTTTTTTCTTACAATCAAACGAGACTAAACAGTTTCATTTTCATTTTGTTCTGACAATGAAATCAATATTTGCTCAGTTAACTATGATATTGACTTTGCGGTATGTTAGATTGTTTTCTTATCCTATTCAATCACTCCTTCTTCTTGTTATGGATGTTCGTACGTTGTCTCTCTATCTCTTTTGTTCTTTTTTCTCTTCGAAACGTTTCCTTGGAGCAAAAGCACGCTCTCAACGAAAAGTAGAAACCACTGGAAATTGAAGCGAAGTGGCCAATGCTCTTAACGCTAACAGAATTTCTTTTTCTACTTGCGACCTGGAACATAAAAGTTCAATACGAAATAAGATTTTTTACGTGAACGTTTATTCGAAAGTAGCGTGAAAGAAAAATTATTAATTATCTTTTTTATCAAGTCACTTAAGATACATCAAATGATCTTGCTCTTCGTTCTTTTTTATCTCAATTTTGTTACTTTAAAAGAAATAATTATTGTATAAATTGTTCTAATATATTCCTACTTTTGATTCGTAATTTAAATATTAATTTCACATTTAATCCCGATTTTATCCGCCAAATTTCTTTCATGCAAAGAATTTTTAATTACAGATGTTGGAAACCATATTATATTTCTTTTTAATTGGTCTCGTATGATTGATAATACGATATTTTAAATATGTTTTTTTTTTTTTGTTAACGATATGTTTAATTTGAAGTCGAAGTCTCTTTTTTATCTTTTTCCTTTCGTTTTTCATTTCGTACAGCTCGGTCCATTTGGTAAATTAGTAAAAATGTCAAGTGCACTTACCGTGATGACATTGATAATTAGCATTATGGCTGTTTGTCATGCGAACGAAATGAGTTTTATCGTTAGTAATGATCTAAGTAATACCGTACGTGCGTGATTTTGATATCAAACATCGCGAGATTGGAAATAATTTCTTGCTTTATGTAGTATGATTCATTGGCATATCAGTTGAAGAAAAAATATAGTATGTAAAAGTATAATATCTAATTATAATAATTGCGATCTATTTGCTTGGTTAAAGTATTATATGGAACAAATTTATTCTACGATGCGAAAGTTGTAATATTATTATTTCATAGATTTGATGATAAATTGAAACGGGAGTAATGGAAATACCTATACGTTAGAATTATAAATACTTTGTAGAATAATTTTTGTTTAATTTTTTTTTCCTATCGGATTGACTAAAAATTTAAAAACCTTTAAATTCAATACTTGATTGACGTCGAATTATAATATGTTCGATATAGAATGCGATTATAGTATGCTCTAATTGGAAACAATATGACAAATTGACGTTATTATTAGTATTCATAATATAGCCGCAAATTTACAGATTCTACAATAACATTTATAATGTATTAATCGTCTGATTAGCAAAGTATGCAAACGAGATTAATATTGATTACAATTAATCAATAATTATTCAAATTCTTTAGTCGTTTGTTTTTCATTTTTTATTTTAATACAATATTTTTACAATGGTAGAATAAAACGTGCGAAAATAGAATAAATATAATATATATATATAAAACTTTTGTTAATATTAGAAAATAATATTTTGTTAAAATCATGCATCTTTGTTACCTCGATCATGAATTTAACAATGATATTAGACGAATTGAAATCATAAGTGAGGAAGGTATATCTCACTGCTTCAAAGGCTAGATCGTTATGTCGAAATCATATCAATTTCACTACTAGCAATGAGGTTATGGTAGTTGAAATCTCGCCAAACGTATGATCATTCTAGTGCTGTCTATCAATCGAATTGCGTCAGCTTTGATTATCCTTGATCGTTCACTACGATTTATCATGATTCGAAACGAATCTCTTTATCTTTCTTTTTATCCCCTTATTTATTTTATTCAGACATTCTATCTTACAATAAATGTTTTCCCCTTTAATGATTATAATTATGGATTATTAATTAATGTAATATAGTCAACAAATAATTCTTAAGGCTGGTTTTAAAAATTGGTTGCCGTAAAAAATAGATAAAAATATATTGTGTAAAAAGAGGAAGAACAATTTTTAACTAACCCTATAGAGTGATAAATATTTATTACATAAAAGAGAAATTTATCCGAACCCAAAATTAGCTAGTAATGGAATATTTTATGAAATTTGGTGTCCCTGTAAAATCACAAAATTAACTTGAGTGCGATCTTAGTTAACGCACTATACGTAAATGGAGATTCAATACGTAATGTTGGATACAATTTACAACGTTCATATGCATTGTGCGTAAATAATAAAATTCTCATTTATTTTATCTTGATACGCGTGTAGATTATTAGAACACGCACTTTTTCTTTCTCTTCTATCTTCCATTTTCTTTACTATTTTTTTTCTTTTGTATACAAAAATTTATATTTCTCTCCGTTGTGATTGAATCTTTAAATAATTTATAATTACAGCAAAGGGAATAGATGTTTGTTGATGTAATCGTTAAGTTCACCTCGAACAGATTAATAGATAAATATTCTATAATATGAGATCTTCCACATCGTTCTCTGTCTAATTCCTTGTGTATCGACCCTATTGTTGCATCGAGTTCTATAGTTTCGTCCTCGGAGAGAATGGTTTGAATGTAACAAGGAGATTCGCGAGAAATCTGCTTGCGTTTAGCCACAAGAACCGGCTCAAGTGGTGTTTCGACCAGGACAATCTGATTTGTGTCGTACTCGTAAATCTCAAAAATAAATAATACAAGAGTGTCTAAACTAAGTAAAACACCGCAGGTTATCGATTGAAACGAAAAATAAATGTGACCTTTTATTATTTATCGAAGAAAAAGTAATAATTAATCATCATTCATTCAATTAAATCGAATCAAGAATGATCAAAATATTCATTATTTTCAAACCATTCTCATTATATCTCATTTATCTGCTTCGAACGGTATTATACTACTCTTCATAAATCAATTGATAACCGACGAATAAACGATTCGAAAGATTGAAGGAGAGATAAAATATTATATAGATTACTAATAATTTATTGTATACGAATAAAACGATTCCATTCGTGTTAATACTCGTTTTCTAAGTTATTTTATTCGTTGCATAACGTTAGAAAGCCCTGGAGCGTATATTTCTAAATTTCGAGAGTTCTATATATGCAACTTAAATACATTAGATCGACTACGGACAGCTTGCTTCAAACTAATTCAGAATGTGATGATAAATTAAACTGTTTCAGAGAGTTTAAACAAGGCTTAATGTAGCGCTCTATTCGTCGACCGAAGCGAATGCAAATTACGATGTTGCATCGTAATAATTTTCCTTCTGTATTATCGTCAATCTCTCTCCCTCTTTCTTCATGTCTCTCTTTCTCTCTTTCCTTCTTTTATTTTTTCGAATTTTTTTTTTTTTTTATACAAACCACGCGCTTGTATTTTGCATCTGTATATTTTTTCGGTCAACCACTTATCTAGGAAAACATAGAAACTTGCTTTCTTGTTTGGTGTATTACTACGTGCCTTAATCCTATTCGTAAAGGCGCTCAATTTGGAAGCTAGCGTTTCTCAGTGAAGCTTAAAGATAAGCATACTCTTTGAGGTTTTTCGAGATAATAAAAAATATAAAAAGGTATTAGTTTTAGCGGATGAAAATAAAAATATGATTTTATGGTTATTTTGGGAAAATACTTATAAGTTCATTTTGTTGGAATTTTCACCTAGCATTAAAATTAATCTATTTTGATAAAAAAAAAAAAAAACCCGACGACGCGTTTTTCAAAAAATGCTCTTCAACGTGAAACTTCGTCGAAACATCCTCTTTCTTTAGTACTTTTATTGCATTCTGTAAACTTTCAAAGAATTAGAAATAAGTGACGAAGTTTTATTTTCAACGTTAAAACCCAATTCACGAGGAAGTTAAAATCGACGAGTTACTGTTGCCAACGGAACCGTTAACCTCGCATTGTCCAGAATTATCCGTGACTTAAACTTTTTTCAATCCTTCTTTTTCCATCTATCTTCCTCTCTTGTACTATCCTATAAAATTTATTTTTATTTCATTGACTTTAAAGTACATCTCGTGCTCGAGAAACATTCGTCGTAAAGACATCGTGAAAAATTGTTTTCTTTAACTTGATTATAAAAATAACTATTATTTCGAATAAGAATGACAAGTTATTTTCATTTTCGTATAAAAATAAAGAGAAATTAATCGTAAATACAATATATGATCTTTTTAACAGAATAAAATCTTTAATATAGTAACATCTTATTAGACATATCCGCAACTATGAAGAAAACTCAACACAAGGCTTCTCTCTTAGATTAATTTCTTTCGCCGCTTTGAATATCTTCATCAAAGTTCCCCTCAAATTCCTTCATCAACGCCAGTAATGTAACAGGAGTAATGCGAGTAATGCACTCGTCGACGCTCGCAGCATGTCTTTCCACGAGTAAAGCTTAGACTGCATACAATCTTCCCACGGATTCCAACCACGATGACTTCCTTGCGTTTACGTTAATCTTGCGAAATGATAATATTTGTGGTACATTAAAATGTTACACATATCGAATTATCGATTCTAATACATTTTTAAGTTATTAACGCATTAAATTGCCTAATTATGTTTTGTTTGGTTAAATACGATGACAAAAACTATCGAATAACAATAATTATTAAAATAATTCACTTGAAATATTGCAATAATTTTGTTTGATACATTAAAGGTAATAGCTTAATGGAGTTGAAATATTCGAGAAGTTGACGATCTGTTGTATCGACTGGTCGGTTAGTCAGCTAGCTAGTCATGAGTCCTACGAGTAGCTAGAACACGCGGTCTATATAGAATAGTTATACAC